ATCATCAGGAACGCCCTCGTCTCTCCAGGCTTGTCCAATCATCTCATGAAGTCAAGGGCCCAGACTATCGACATAAGACCTAGAAATGCTCGCTGCTACTGTTTGAATGAAATACCCATACGAAACAGCGTCTATCGCAGAGGCTTGTTTTCTGCAGTCCTCAGGCTTCAGGGCGGTGACTGGCTGACATGATTCACGTGACCGACGCTATTGCGAAGCACCTGACTGTACTGTCAGAGGAATACAAAGGGGCTGATTAGTAAGTTGCGGCGTGTAAGTAGACGACTATTTTCAAAAAAGAAAAATAAGAGGTTATGAAATGCATCGTTTTAGAGTATGGGCCTTTTTGAGGCTCGACACAAGTCGGAAAAAACGCTGCTGGGCTTACTACTGCATACTCATATCTGAAAAACAGTTTAGACAATTGCGTAGCACTGATTAGTGCTCACATATGCGCTGTCTTGCGTCAGTGCAAAATGCAGCTACGCTGATGTAATACAAGCACATGCAGCTTCCGCAAATTTAACAATAGAAAACGCTAGCAAACGTGTCATGATGAGGCGGGTGGAAAGAATTTCACACAGGGCGTCATCTGACAATTTTTGGGATCCAAAGCCTAGTATCTTGACGTTTTGCTATCCAAACCAATATATTTCTTTCTTATCCATTAGCATTCTGGTGGTCTGCGTAAGACGTTTTCTCTCTTTAACTGACAGCAAGTTTAATGACGTCTTCGTCAACTTTGAGCGTTCATTGGTCAGCCCAGAAGGCAAGATGCTATAGCAACGGAGTAATCGAATAGACTTAGCGACGAAACACAAGTTTATTTGCTTGGAATAAGAGAATGCGTCTGATTGCAAAATAAGTTTAAATTCTGAATTACGTTGTACTGGGCGACATTTAATGTAAGCCATCTGAAGTAGGAAATTATTCTGTGTATATTCTAGAATAAATATAGCAGTCCTTTACTAGGTTTTACAGTGAAAGGGAATTAGAGAAGTTTTTCTGCGAAAAATAGCGGCCGTGGTTTTATATAAATACGACTGTTAAAGAAAATACATTGCTCCTATGTTCAGCCTTACTTGCTCAATTAAGTTTAGTCTGAAAATATGGTTTTGCAACTAAAGTCAGACGACTTTATCGTTCAAAACGATTTATTAGGTCAGCCACTGTGCGTTCTGGAATTTCTTGTATTTGAAAATTGATTTATCGTTACTTTGGTTAACCTCCAACTGCCTAGGAATCAGCAAGTATTTTCGACTT